CTAGGTACTTTCCTGTAATATCATCTGGATCCTAAAAAATTATTTAGCTCACATTTTTGGTTACACCACCCTAGATATCGCTCCTGCATCTCCTACACAAACAGCAGATTAAATTACTAATTCCTGTGTAATCAAGAAAGAACTAAACTCATAACCTGCCCAGTGCTGTTCTTTTCAAGCTGCATAGTAATCATGCACACTCCCCAGACACATTCTTGTGCCTTACCTCGCGCTCTCCCATCCCTCAACAAGCATTCCAGTAAGACTAATGCTTCTATTTGGGCTTTATTCTCAATTTCTGATTCTTTGTGCTAGGCTCTGCTCTGCGTAGCCCTTCCATGGGGGGAAAGGGCCTGCACTTTCAACCTGGAGACCACTGATTTTTAACCCATGTGCTGAGGCACAGTGGTATTTCGTGAGACAATCTTAGGTGTGCCACAAAAATTTTTAAAGATCATTAAATGAGTTATTTTCAAAAGAAGTTCAAAGCACATTAAGTATATTCCTCTTTTTAGTCTTGTTGTTGTTATTGTTGTTGTTCACCATAATTTCCATGTGCTGCAGAAATTTAACTATAGGTTCAAGTGTGCCCTGAGATTAAAAAAAAAAGAAAAAAGGTTGAAGAACACTGCATTAGGCCAATGCTACAGCTGGTCACTTTCAGTACACTGGTAGCACACTCACTACTGAGTGCTAATTAGTTTTCTTTCTTTCTTTTCTTTCTTTCTTTCTTTCTTTCCTTCTTTCCTTCTTTCCTTCTTTCCTTCTTTCCTTCTTTCTTTCTTTCTTTCTCTTTCTTTTTTTCTTTTTTGACAGAGTCTCACTCTGTCACCCTGGATAAAGTACCTGAGGTGTCATAGCTCACAGCGACCTCAAACTCTCGGGCTCAACCCATCCTCCTGCCTCAGCCTTTCTGGTAGCTGGGACTATAGGTACCCGCCATGATGCCCCGATCGTTTTTCTATTTTTAATAGAGATGGCATCTCACTAATGCTCAGTCTGGTGTGCAACTCCTGAGCTCAAGCGATCCACCTGCCTCGACCTCCCAGAGTGCTACAGTTACAGGCGTGAGCCACCACCCCTGGCATAGTATTGGTTTTAATCCAAAGAAAAAGTCTGCAAAATGCTGTCATGAAGTCAAAAAGAAAAGAATACGATTACGGTGTGCTTATTGCTGAGTCATTGCTGTTCTGAGTCTTTCTTGTGTCACTTTGCTTTAACAGGGGGAGAAAGGTTTCCCTGGACCTCCTGGCTTTCCCGGCCAGAAAGGATTCTCAGGTCCTGAAGGCTCACCTGGACCCCAGGGATCCAAGGTAAATCATTCTGCAAATTGGACAATCCCCAACCCACCTAGCCCTCATCATGCCTGTTCCCTGGGCTGCCAAGAACCCGGACAGGATTCCAGATGTTAGCCAACTCATGAGTGTGTGACAGATTCCTCGTTTCCAATATTATTTGAGCACTCAGAGCTGCAGCTTCTTCCAAGGCTAGTGGAAATGCCGGTCATTAGCTTCAAATCCACTGCTCAACTCCCTCCCCTTCTCCATCTTCCCAGTTTCTACATCTCACTCGGCCCAACCCACACCTGTTTTTCTCCCTCCTTCCAGCCCTGCGCCAGACTGCGCCCTGATCCCTGGGGTTCCTGCTAGGACTTTGTGCCAGGAGGTGTCTTCTCTCTCTCCATATATCCCAACTTTCCTTTTGATGTTGGCTTTTCCCTTTCAGCTCTGAAACATGCAAACATTTTCCCAAACTAACACAAAACTCTCCCTCATTGTCATCCCTCCCTGTCTTTCCTTTCTCTGTCAAGTTTCTTAAAAGAATAGCTGCGTGAGCTGCCCGCAGTTCCTCTCCTGGTCACTCCTTAGCCACCAATAATTTGCCTCCTGCTCCCCTCCTCTGAAAACATTTGCCGAGGTCAGCAGTGACCTTCAAACGGCCACTGAAATTAAACTCTTCTTTGTCTGCGTCTGACCTGAACCTTTCTGCTTTGTGTCACGTGTGAATCACCCCTTTCTCCTAGAAACATAGTCCATCTTTGTTTCCAGGTTTCTCCCTTCCCTGAGTCTCTCGTTGTCTCCCCAGTCTTCTCCTCCTGGGCTCCCACTTTGTTCCTCGTCCCTTAAACATGGTGCTTGTAGAGTTCTTACCAGAGCCAGCTGCCCCCCCACCCTCATCACACATTTTCGCTGTAAAGTCTATGATACAGCAAAGGGCTTTGTTGAAATAAATACCCTGGTGGCTTTACTAAAAAACTGCATAACCACTAGATTCGCTGATTGTTCTTTCCTGCTGTGGACAGTAGCTAGACTTAAGCCTGGCTCCTCACGCACCCACACATTCATTCCCCTGCTCCTGACCTCCAGCAAGCCCTGAACTAACTAATAAGCTATGGAAGATAGTGATAATTCATCTATATGGAGGCTTTTGAATTAAAATATGTATTAGAATGCTACTTAGAATATTTAGATGATAATTAAGGTCAACACCCTGCATATTTACCCTGTGCCAGGCACCTGGTCGTGCCTCCCTCCAGGTATGTCACACGATCCCATAAATCATGACCATGTGACCCATGACACAGCTCCCATTATCATCTGGATTTCATGGATAAAGAAGTGC